GATCAGGAGGAGGAGAACTGACCAGCAGGAAGCAGGGCTGGCGCGGGGGAGGGGAAGCGAATCAGCCAGCGGAGAGCGGGACCGAGCAACACTGGGTCACTCCAGCTAGTTATTTATATCCGCATCCGCGGATGTCGGTATGGATATCCACGACTCATTTTTGCGGGTTCAGTGCGGATGTCGGTGTGGATATCCACGACTCATTTTTGCGGGTTCAGATGCAGCTGTGGATACACATTTTGTATCCGCACAGGGCTCTACAGTTGTACTCAGTGACATAGAACAGAGACTTGAGAAGAGTCAGTGCCTGGGAGCGTGTTTTCCATGTGCTACCAGTGGGCTCCTCGTTCCTGCTGCAGCACAATGCAAGAGAAATGTGTTTACATGTGAGCTCCCGAACCTCCAGCCTGCATGCAGGCTAATGAGACATGCTCAGCACGCAGGGCTACAAGGAACTGGGTGTGAATTGAGATCTCCCACTGCTGCAGTGTAACGGCTAGGGAGAGAGGTAGAGAACTAGCACATAGTGCTGGCCTCCGTGCTTTGTAACCCAGCTCTGAGCATGGAGGTAAACCCCCAACTGCCCTGGCTGTGCTAGTGCCCCTGGCGCCCTGGCAATTGGGGAGAGATTTTAGGGGAAAATTCCAGTGTATGTAAAAGTTTTAAAAGTGACTGACTGACAGTTTCTTTTGCAATGCCTCCACTTTTGGATGTCCAGCTTGAGATCCCTTAAAGGGGCCCAGTTGTCAAAAACTGCTGAGGATTTCCTTTCAGCCAGTCCAGCCCCTTTCAAGGGCCTCTGGGGGAGCTGCCCAGAATTAAGTCACTGCAAATGGCCAGTTGCTTTTGAAAATCGCAGCCAGTACCAAAAGAGGAGAGCTGGTGGCTTCCTCTCCAGTCTCACGTGGCTTCTTTGCTTGGTTTCCCCAGGGATTCTGGGACCAGCAGCTGGGAGATCCCTGTGGTTTCCGGAAGCGATGAAGGTTTTTATGAGTGCACGGCTGTTAGCAAAGCCGGGGCGGCGCGAGCTCGTGGCTATCTCTCTGTCACAGGTCAGTACTGGAGTGGGCATTTGGGCAGGGGAAAGACTCACCCCAGTCTTGCACAGAACATGCTGCAATGAGGATTCTGCCCCTGGGCTTTGCTTCCAATTTTTAATGGTTGAGCTCAGCACTTCGGCATTAGAAACCTCCAAATGATAGTTTGGGAGTGACTCCAGCGGGGTGCCTGGGTACTTCGCAGCCTGGATAATTGGACCTCAGTGTCTGCTTTCCTCCACGCAGAGCCGCCTCCGTACCTGGTGCCCTCCGGGAACATCACAGCATTGCCGGGAGAAGGAGTGGTCATGTCTTGCCTGGTTTCAGGAGACCTTGCTTATAATCTGACTTGGAGCCGTGATGGGAAGGTGCTGCAGCCAAACGAGGGATGGGTGAGGATCCTGCAGAACCTCTCGCTAGAGATTGTCAGCGTCCAATTGGGTGATGGTGGTCAGTACGAATGCACTGCCAATAACGGCCATGGGACAGCTAATGCTTCCATCTGGCTCTTTGTTCAGGGTAAGCTGGCCTGTGTCCGTGCGCTATCTGAGCCTCATGTCGAGATAATTACCTGCCCTTGGCTGGGACTGAAATCCCTTAGAACGGTGTTTCCCAATTTTATTTGGCCACAGAGCCCCTAGCCCGCGCTGAATTTTGTCGAACAAAAAAAACAAAAAACATAAAAAACCTCAGCCGCTGCCGCAACTCCAACACTCCAGCTCTGTCTCTTTAAGAGGGCAAAAGGAGTGCCGGCTCTTCCACAGAGCACCAATTGGGAAACGCTGCCATAGAACAATGATTCTCAGACCCCCGTCTTCCTGCTAACTTTTTCCATCCAGGAACCCTTCTGCCAGGTAGCACCAAGACGTGTAATAAATTTCGTTATGTGCACCGAGCCATTTGAATCTCTCCTGGGTGGCCGCGCCCAAGCACTCAGAGCAACGTGCTCTGGGCGGCTCTGAGAGATGAGGGCGGGGAGGGACGACGTGGTCCGGGCGACACTGAGGGCTGGCTGCCCCGGGCCCTGCCCCTTTCCTTCAGGAGCATGGAGCCCTCCCACCTTGCCTGGGGGCCCGTGGAGAATGTGGGTTCCCCTGCTCTCCTCCCTTCTTGCCCTCCACTATCTCTGCGCGTCCCCCCTGTGGCTGGACGGGGGGAGCAGGTGATGGGTGTCTGATACCTTGTGTTTCTTGGTGTGCAGAGGCCCCTCGGGTGAGGGTTGCCCCAAGCTCACAGTCGTTCTCCAGGGGTGGAGAGGTGAGGCTGAACTGCACTGCGAAGGGCCACCCTGCGCCCCGAATCTCCTGGAAACGATGGGACCGGGCCCTGGAAAAGGACGGCAGGTAACCTTACATCAGGGCCTCGTCTGCCTCCCTCTTGGGCTCCATGCAAACTGCTGAGGGGGAGGGGGCAAGGAAGAACCTCTTTTCTACCATGTGCAAATCACAGTGTATTGGGCCCAAGGCTTCTCATTGTTGTTTCCAGGCCCCCTGCTGGTGGCAGCTAGCATAGTCGGACCAAAGCCTTTAGCCGGGTTATAAAATGTGGCTGCCACCCAGGTTATGCTACAGATCAGCCCCATCCTGGTAAAGGGGCTGGAGGCAGAGGAAGTGTGGCCAGCTTCCATGATAAAGGTTTGATGCCCTAGTGCAGGGGTGGGCAAACATTTTGGACCAAGAGCTACGTCAGGGTATGGAAACTGTATGGCAGGCCATGAATTTGGGGGTTGCAATGCAGGAGGGGGAGTGAGGGCTCCAGCTAGGGGTGCAGACTCTTGGGTGCAGCTAGAGATGAGGGGTTTGGGCTGTAGGGAGGTGCTCTGGGCTGGGACCAAGGAGTTCAGAGGACGGGGGGGGGGAGGCATCAGGGCTCGGGCAGGAGGTTGGAGCATTGGGGAGGGCCTCAATGGTGCAGGCAGCAGTATGTCCTCCCTCCAGACATAGCCGGTGGCTCTCTGCACTGCCCCAGCTGCGGGAACTACCCCTGTAGCTCCCATTGGTCATGTTCCCAGCCAATCAGAGCTGTGGAGTTGGCGCTTGGGGTGGAGGCAGTGCAAGGAGCTCTCTAGCTACCTTTACATATAGGAGCAGGAGGGGGAACATACTGCTGCTTCCGGGAGCTGTGCAGCATCACAGCACATTTGCAGCAGGGCAAGCTTCAGACTCCGCTCTCCAGTGAGAGCTTGGGTTAAAATAGCTGATGGGCCGCATGGGCTGTAGTGTTGGGTGTAGGCCCGCCCTTAACGTCATGAAATGCAGGATCTTTTTGTTGCTTTAATGCTGGAGCTGGGGGGCTGCAGCACCCCCTTACCTTCCCCTCCTTGGCTAACACAGGCTCTCCAGTGCCAAAGGAGTTTGCTGAGTCATGTTTGGTCTCTTCAGCCTACCTGCCGTGTCATTCTGCTTCTTTTGGGGAATATTAGATGAGTCCCCATACAAAAACAGAGGAGGGTTTCTGGTACTTTATGTACCTGGAGAGGGTTGATAAAGGCAAAAGGGGAAAACTGCAAGAAAATATATGACTGGCACATCAGAGATTATGACAATGTCTAGGTAAAATTAATATATATATATATTTTAAAAAGACATGCTTCCTTATCTCTGCTGCTAGTAACACTTGAAGTTGTAGAGGCTGTGAAAGCGCATTAGCATCAAACTGACTCTGTGCTATTGGTGCGTTTTTAGCCTTTGTTGGGGAGGGGGGACAACAGTGTAAATAAACATAGTTTTGACCTTTTATTTATTGTCAGTTTCTGGTAAATTTCACTTTTAGGTTCACCCACCTTCTCATGTGGCAAATATTTAGGCTACAGGCATAGCATGAGCACTTTTGCTGGGGTTTTTTTCTTTTAAATCTACAGAAAAACAAAAAAAGTATTGATTTTTTTCACGTATTCGTGGAAATGCTCTTTTTGGTTGTTAGGCCTTGTGTCTGCTGAAGCTGATACATCAGTTACACTTTTTGGGGGGGACAAACTCGACCTGTCAGTGCTCTATTTTCTTATTTTTTCTGAGCTTTCTTTTTATGGCACCTTTTCCCCTCAACCCCCTCTTTTTTTTTTTTTTTTTTTGATCCAGGTTTCTCATAGATGCTCAAGGCACTCTGATTATTAAAGAGGCGGTTCCTGAGGATGCTGGGAATTACAGCTGCTTTGCTGCCAGTCCGATTGGATGGGACGAGAAGACAGTAATGTTAGAGTACACAGGTACCAGCTCCTGTAACTTGTCTTAATCCAGAATTCCCACTGAGAAAACTCCATTGACTTTGGATCAGGCCCTTATCCAGGAGGGTCTTTATTAATATTGTTTGCATTGTGGTAGTGTGCTGCAGGTCTGTTCATGGACAGGACTCTTGTGTGCAAGCTGCTGTACAAACCAGTCACAAAGGGCTCTGGAGAATAGGGCTCTCTGTGAAGGAACATTGCAAGACCTATGGCCTTGAGCTCCCTTTGGTCCAGACAAATGCTTGCCCTCTAGGACCTGATTAATTGAAGCAAAAGGGCTTTGGATCATGGCCATCACCAACAAAGTCACTATGGAGGCCTGCAAGGGCACGTTTCCTTTCTGGGGTTACTCACTCTGGGTTTTGCTGGAAGAACTGAAAATTAGTCCCCTTCAGGAATAACCCATCGTGAGCAGGGAGCTGCCTGGCTAAACGCCATTCATGTTTTCTAGTTTCAGGGTATGTTTAAGATTAGCCACTCTATTGTGTCTTATGGTTCACCCCATTCCTGTCCCCTCCCCTTCTCTGCGCAATTCTCATTCCTCAATTCTGTGTGTGGACAGGGCACAGCTGGTTTGAATGCCTGGTGTTTGCCTGAGGTGGAAGCATGGTTGGATGGTTGAACTTTATGGCAAGTCCCTTGTTAAAGAGATTACACCCCATCCCCTTCATCAGGCTCTCTGTTCCCCTCCCCACCCACTCTGCCGACTTACAAAGTGTCTGGTTACTTATTACTGTTACTTTCATTCTCAATGTCAGCCCTTGTGTTGGCTCAAGATGCTGGGGCTGTGAGGATGATCAATAACAACATGTTACAATAATAACCCACCACTACTGCTCCCACTGCAGCGTTTCCAAAGCTCCCCATTTTTCAAGGCATATGTTGTAGCAAATCATTTTCACAGGAAAATCTCAGCACACATTGTTATCTGTTACAGAAAGATAAGATCAGAAATACAAGTTTCCACCTGCCTAATTACAATCCAGAAGCATCGTTGTGGTTGTCTCAGTATCTTGCTAACTTGGAAATACTAGCCAAAAAATAAGTAATCATATTACCACCTCAGTTACAGGAGGAACTTGTAAGAGAATGTGTAAAAATATTAATCTTCAGCGTTAACATTCACAGTCTGAAATAACCAGGCAATGGCCATATATAAAAAAGAGAAGGTAAAATGTACATCCAAGGAATCAAAAGGTAATTATATTCCCTTCTCAAGGAAGTTGCTCTGTCTTTAGAAAGACCAACTGTTCATTTCACATTCAGAATTATCATCTGTCCAGTGAGATACTCAGTCGGGAATAAGGATGAGTTTGCAAATAAGGCACTGGGTGGGATTCAGATTTGGATTCAGTTCTCAGCCTCTGTATGAGCTTGGGCAAGTCATTTAACCTTTGTATGCCTCAAATTCCCATCTCTGAAATATGGATAATAATCCTTCCTTTACGTAACATAACATAAGAACGGCCGTACTGGGTCAGACCAAAGGTCCATCTAGCCCAGTATCCTGTCTACCGACAGTGGCCAGCACCAGGTGCCCCAGAGAGGGGGGCCCGAAGACAATGATCAAGCGATTTGTCTCCTGCTATCCCTCTCCAGCCTCTGACAAACAGAGGCCAAGGATATCATTTTATCCCCTGGCTAATAGCCTTTTATGGACCTAACCTCCATGAAATTATCTAGCTTCTCTTTAAACTCTATTATAGTCCTAGCCGTCACAGCCTCCTCTGGCAAGGAGTTCCACAGGTTGACTACACGCTGTGTGAAGTAGAACTTTCTTTTATTCGTTTTAAACCTGCTCCCCATTAATTTCATTTGGGGTCCTCTAGTTCTTCTATTTAGGGAACTATTAAATAACTTTTCTTTATCAGCCCTCTCCACACCACTCATGATTTTATAGACCTCTATCATATCCCCCCTCAGTCTCCTCTTTTCTAAACTGAAATGTCCCAGTTGCTTTAACCTCTCCTCATATGGGACCCATTCCAAACCCCTAATCATTTTAGTTGCCCTTTTCTGAACCCTTTCCAAGGCCAAAATATCTTTTTTGAGGTGAGGAGACCACATCTGTACACAGTATTCAAGATGTGGACGTACCATAGTTTTATACAGGGGCGGTAAGATATTCTGGGTCTTATTTTCTATCCCTTTCCTAATAATTCCTAGCATCCTGTTTGCCTTTTTGACCGCCGCTGCACACTATGTGGAAGTTTTCAGAGAACTGTCCACGATAACTCCAAGATCTCTTTCCTGATTTGTCGTAGCCAAATTAGCCCCCATCATACTGTATGTATAGTTGGGGTTATTTTTCCCGATGTGCGTTACTTTACACTTATCCACTTATTCACCTTTTGTCCCACCTTTTGTTGTGCCTATTTAGACTCTAGAGTTTCTGGGGCAGAAACTGCCTGTCACCTTGTGTCGTACAGCGCCGAGCGCAGTGGGGCCTTGATTGGGCTTCTGGGCACAGCTGTAATACAAATAGTGGTTAATAAAAGTTTTTTGTGTGACCTTCAAGATCTTGCTTTCAAACTAGGGATGTGAAAGGTTAACCGGTTAATCTTAACCAGTGATACTTAGCGGTTCCAGTAACTGGTGAGGGCTGGAGTAGAACAGAGGCTGCTCTGGAGAGGGGAGCTCCAGGCCCTCCCCCCGCTTAACACCCACCTGTGAAGAGGCGAGCATGCCGTGGGCACCCTGTAAATAGTGATGCCTAGGCTGCTCCTGGCAAAATAATCAGTGGCATAAACTAGAGCCGGGCAGTGTGGGAGAATCACATGTCAGACAGGCAAGGGGGAAAAAAGATTCACTGTAGCATCAAGAATGAATTTGCATGGTTAGGTGAGGACCCTCAGCAAGTCTTCTGGTGTGTGGCATCCGCAGGTTGTGCGCGACAGGGCGCTGCGATCTGTTGCCAAGCGTGGCAGTGCATTTCTGCAGAACCACGTGCCATAGCCCATAGGCCTTTGGCCTTGGGGTGCTGGGTGGACTGTGGGGGCTCCCAACCTAAGGTCCCTGTAAGCTATGTGCCCATGCAGCTGCCTGTGTAGCACTTACAAGGTGGGGAGAAGGGCCACCCCACCCCCAACCTAGCCTACAGCCTGGTGACCGGGGAGGGATGGCTTGAACTAGGTGCCTCTCCCCAGGCCCTGTTCTCCTGCTGCAGCTTGAGTGCCCTGGGCCCAAAGCCCACATGCCTTGGCCTGGCCCCGGACCTCCTCTCATGCCATATCCCCCTAGACCAGCCCCACCTCCAGCCAGAGCCCTTGCAGCCCAACCCTCTGTCCCCTGAGCCCCTCACCACCAGCCCCGCCAGAGAGCTCACACAGCCAGCCAGAGACCTCACACTCCTCTGCCCCAGGCCTGAGCCACCCCCCACACTCAGAACCCCGTGGCCCCACCCCCTCCACATTAATTTTATTATATGCACCAATATGAAGGTGACGTGTTGCACATCACCTCTGTGTCACGCATCAGCTCCTCCGTAGTGCACATAACGACATTCATTCTGCTCGCGGCGGGGGGGAATGAGGGGGAACACTGCTCCCAACCTGGTGTTTCATCTCCATTCATGTCCCTTCTCCAGGGATGTGGTGTCTCTGGGTTATCTTACGCATGCTCCTGACATCCCAGAACAGTGCTTTCTAGCGTGGGGGCCTTTGTTTTGTGTGTCTGGGGTACAGAATCTCCCCACATCGCTGCGGTGACCCCTGTGGTGCAGGCTCGGCTGGGAGAAGATGCAGTGCTGGAGTGCCACATTTCTGGAGTACCCCTTCCCCAGATCACATGGTATAAAGGTAGTCCTGGAATTCTCTACAATGACTTGTGCAACAGTTGGGGGAGGGTATTGGGCCATATTAAATACCCCCCTTCAATCTTAACACCGACACATCGCGCCTTTTACTCCACAAAGGACTCCACTTTGCAGCCTCGCTTGGCTAGCCAGCTTCCTGCAGCGGAGACCCTGAACCTGTCTGCTCTCTGCCAAGTAGCCCCACCCGGTTAGCCAGCCAGCAGAAATCCATTCGGCACTGCATTGTACCATTGCTGTGTTTGGGGTGCCCGCCTTAGCCTGCCCTGGCAGTCAACCTCCCTGAGACATTTCCAGCTCCATTTTGCAGGCTCAAATGATTCGGGCAAGTCTCAGTTCTGCATCTGAATAAACTCCTCTCCACCCCTTTGAAGGGTTGCCCGTGGCTAGCATCAGGAGCGGCCCTAGACGAGCTGCCGGCAACTGGCGCCCTGGGCGAAATGTGCGATTGGCGCACAATCGGCGCCCCCGCCTCCAAAGCCGGCAACGGCCGTTTATCTTGGCGCCGTAGGCGACCACCTAGTTTGCCTGTATTGATGGGCCGCCGTTGGCTAGCATGGTTTGTGGCAAGAGAAGGCAGGAAGGGACTTGGAGCTGCCAAGGCAGTGGCTTGATGTTCCGTATCTTTCCTTGTCCAGGGGAACAGGAAGTGGCAACTTCTCCGCCCGGTGCTCATCGCGCGATCCTGCAGCTCCAGGCAGTGCAAGCCGAGGATTCAGGAGAGTACATCTGCAAGGCTGTCAGTGAGGCGGGGGTCTCCTTTGATGGCATCCAGCTGGAAGTTGGCTGTAAGTCTTGACCCATAAAGCTCTGGGCTTCTTCACACTATTGAGGAAAAACCAGCTGATTGTGGCAAATGACCAGCTCTGATGGGTTGTGTGCGGTGTGGCTGTAGCCATGTCAGACACAGGATAGACAAAGTGTGTGAGGTAATGTCTTTTATTGCCCCAACAGAAGTTGGTGAAGTGACGGATGTTACCTCAGCCACCTTGTCTCGCTAGACTCCTGTGAGAAAAATCACAGGAATTAAGATGGGATGGCCCATGTGTGCACACTGAGCTTTTTGTTGATCTCTCCGCTCTCTGCCCCATTACAGGTGCATCTCTGGCACTGGGCTTCCCCCTCCTTCACTCCTAGTAGTACACTTGAACCTCTTTAATCCAGCAACCTTGGGAAACAGGTTATTCTGGATTAAAGAATTTGCTGGGCCAGGGAGGGCACTGCGGGGTCTGGGTGCAAGGGAGATGGGGATGCTTACCTGGCACCTTGCTCCCGGGGTCACACATGGCTCTGCGCTCCCTGTCGTTCCCTAGCACAGCCCCCCTCTGCTATGGGAGCAGCAGGAAATAGCCTCAAGAGAAGTGCATCACTGTGCTGCCATTCCCCGTGCTCCCCAGCAGCACTTGCTTTGCTCCTTCAGCTGCATCACTGCACTCTCCACCGGTGAGTGTGGGGTGGTTCCAGCGTGCTACTTTGAGGTACGGAGTGTCACGTGTATGAGACCCATTAGTGCCAATAGTTCTGTCATTCTCTCTGAATGCGGATGGGCTGGAGGTTTGAAAGAACATGGCACGACAGTGCTGTGGTTAAGCAGAAAGGGAAGCAAGTGGATGGGGTCAGAGTAGGTGGAACTGAAAATATTTCATGATCAAAAATGTGTTGCGCAAAAGTGGGAAAGGGGCTGATTCACAGCCAAAGGCGGGGCTCTGGACAGGGGCCAGAAAGCACAGGGCAAGCTAGCCAGAGGACAGCAGATCAGTTAGCTCTGAGCTAGAGGGGGAAGGGTTTGATCCAGAAGGGAAGATTCTGGTTCTGAAGTCTAAAAGGGTCCGTGTCCAGGGTCAAGTGACCCAGCTGACACAAATAAGTCACCACTGAAATTCACTCCCAGTAATTGGGAGCCCTTGCAGGGAATGCAGTGAAATCTCTCTCCTCCCTTTAGCTGTATCCAGCTCTGGTTTTCCTGACTTCTGCTGCAGTGTCATTGTGCATTGCTCTCACAGAACAGGGGTTTCTCAGCCCAGCACCCTGGAGATGGGAGTTTTCTGTCTTTCCCTGGAGCTCTAGGACCATCCTGGCTCTGCAGCACCCTGCTGTGCACACTGTATCCTCCAGGCTGGCTCCAGCCATCCTATCAAACACTTTGCAGCCATGCTCAGTGCTGCTAAACATGGTTTTGTATCCTCACACCTGCAAACTGCCCTTGGGCCAACAGCCAACGGCCAGTATCTAAGGGTATGTCTACACTAGCTCGTTAATTCAAGCTAGGTAGGCAAATGAGGCGATCGGAGTTGCAAATGAAGCCCGGGATTTAAATATCCCCGGCTTTATTTGCATGTTCCCGTCCGGTTGCCATTTTGAAATTTCACTAGCCTGAACTCACTGCCGCGCAGCTACACGCGGCAGTGAAACATTAATTTGAGCTAAGTCCTTAGTTCTAATTAACTATTCCTCCTCGTGGAATGAGGCGTAACAGTTAATTCGAACTAAGGACTTAGTTTGAATTAACGTTTCACTGCCGCGTGTAGCTGCGCGGCAGTGAGTTCAGGCTAGTGAAATTTCAAAATGGCAACCGGACGGGAACATGCAAATAAAGCCGGGGATATTTAAATCCCAGGCTTCATTTGCAACTCCGGTCGCCTCATTTGTCTACCTAGCTCGAATTTACGAGCTAATGTAGACATACCCTAGGGGATTTATGGGACTGAGCCCTAGCCCACAGTGAGCACAACCGTACTGGAGCATCTGCCATGGCCTGGGTGTGGTGCAGGGAAAGGATGTCCTGCCCGGTAGAGCAGAGGAGACAGGCTGGTTACAAGCTCTGGGAGTGAGAGCAGCAGCTGCCTTGGCGGTGGGTTCATGTTACTAGCTAAGGGTACGTCTAGACAGCGGTGCTATTTCGGGATACATCCGATAACCTGAAATAGCGGTTTCCATGTGTAAAAGGTGGAGCCTCCAACCCAGTTTGTACCTGCACTTTTATTGCATTGTCAGCGCTACACCCGCGCTCCGAACCCTCGGCCCACGGTTGGATGAGAGTCCCACATCGGCTGTTCGCTATCCGAGGCAGGTAGGGGGGCTCGGGCCCTCTCTCTCTCCGAGCCTTGACCCATGTCCCTAAGGACTGGGGTCATGGACCCCGTCGGGTTGGTGGAGAAGTTTCCCACAATGCACCAACCCCAGGGCTTCTCAGTAGCCATGCCCTGGGTCGCTTCCTACCGCCTCGGGTCCTTGTTGGCCGGCTCCGTTCCTCCGCCCGACGTCCCTGAGGACAGGAGTCCGTCCTCCCGCTCCGGGCTGCCTCCGCTCCCGGCTTCTCCTTCCCCCTCCGGGTCTGGTGGCAGTCTTTAAATGACCCACCGTGCCTGCGCCGTGGCCGCTGGGGCCAACGTCTCTGCCTGGGCCGACCCCATCCCCAATGTCTGGCCGCACGCCCTGCTGCAGCTCGGCTGCGGCCGCTTCACACGCCTCGCAATGGTGCCACTGTGCTGCCACTGGCGGCTGTCCTGCCCAGCACACTGGAGATGGCACCGGGTGAGTCTATCCATAAGGATAGTCGAAATAGACTGTTTCGAAATAAGCTACGCAATGGGTGTAGCTTGAATTGCTTAGCCTCCTTCGAGCTACGTGGCGCTGTCTAGACATACCCTAAGTGACCTGCCCTGGGGGATGCAGACCCACTCTGGGTCAGACTCTGTCTTAGGGGCCAGGCCAGGATGAAAACTCAGAACTTCTCAGCTCCAAACTCTGTGTCCCCCCTTGCTAGACAGTGCAGCAGAGGGCCTGACTAGGCATGGGCGGGGTGATTGACTGAACCCCTCCCTGAGTGAACGGTGCTGTGGGCTGAGCTGGCTCCATGTCCCAGGGCTTTCCGCAGGAGGATGTGGAGGCTGAGCTGTCTTGAAACCCGACAGTCCAACGGGCCCTCTACGCAGCCCCTTTCCCCCGTTGGTCAAGTGCAGAACAGCTGCAGTTCCCATTGTACAAACCGCAGCGCTGTTGCCAGCAGCAGAGGGGGATTTCCTCAGGCAGTGAGTGAGTCCTCGCCAACACTCCCAACGCACCCGGCTCGGGGGTCCAGTCGCTCTGCTGTTGGCATGCTGGCTGAGGCTGCTACAGCACAGCTGGCTCTCCACCACTCTCTCTCTGCAGCCAGGGCGGCAGGGAGCTAGAGACAGGGCTGAAGTACAATGAGGATTAGCCGCAGACAGCAAAATCAGAAAAGAGCACTGAGGTGTGAAAGCAGCATCCCCTGCCTGGTGGCTGTCTCACTGGCTGGCCAGCAATGGGGAATGCCAGCTCCTGGCTCTTACAAGGGGATATGTTGCCACCTCCATGGGAGAGGAGGCTAAATGCCTAGCCAGGGAGGTATGGAGTTCCTGTTTACCAGCCAGAAAGGCTCTTTCCTCTCCATGTCAGTGTGTCCTGGCTCAGCCCCAGGCCCCTTGGATCTGACCAGGGTGGTGTCATTGCACCGTGGAGCCCAAAGCAGTTTGTAACAAGACCCCGGCCAGGCTGGGCAGGCAAATGCTCTCCTGCGAATCTGTGGGGAGGGAGATATGTGGCAAGCTCCCTCCCTGTGCGTTCTTGGACCCACTACTCTGCTGGTAGCGTGACTCTCAGTCCTGCTGTTGTTGACACTTTTCGGAGAAATTTCCCAATTCTTTCCCCCCCCCCTCCTGCAGGGCTGCAGCTCGGGGAAATCTCAGAGGAGTCTCCTCCCACTCACCCCCCATTCTTTGGTCTTCCTTGAACGCTCTTCAAACATGAGGCCTTGGACTGCGACCTCCCTTCATTGCAGCTGAAGCCTGGGTGGGAGCCATGCTGGATCCAGTTATTAATGCTCTTAGATCAGCCAGAGGGATCCTGGCCAGCTACTCCCTAACTCCAGAGGCTGAAGCCCATGGCAGTCCGTGGAAAGCGCGGAATGAGAACGGGACCTGACTGGCTCCAGTCTTGGCTCTAGCTCTAGTACCCAGTGCTGTCCCTGCAGCCTGCCCCCTGCTGGCCCCGAGAGGAAAAGAAGGGGACTTGGGAGGGAAGAATTTGGCCAGTTACACCTCCCCTCATGTTGGCAGTGAAAAAACTGCCTTCCACTCTTTGGGGCTCATTAAGATTTGAGGGGTGTGAGTAGCCTAGAAACTGCTATGGTAATTTTGGAGGAGACAGGGTGTGTTTGGGAGTTTTCAGAAACCTGTCTGTGAATGTGTGTGTGTGTGTGTGTGTGTGTGTTCCTGTGGAACACAAGAACAGAACAAAGACATGACGCACCTAAGCATTGCTTAGAGAGGAGGAGCAGCCGAAATAATACAGGAGACAAGGAATCAATCCCCCCTTCCAAACAGGCTGGCTCCTGTTATCTTTTCTGACTTGGCAGGGGCTCAAAGCAAGGTGCACCATGTTCGATGGGGTGCAGGCCTTCTTCAGACACCCCCCTGACTAACCTGTTGTTTCCCACTTGATAATATAATCAAGAGCAAAGCAGCTTGTAGAGTCCTGGAGTGAGTGTAGGTTTTACCAGGGCGGAAGATGGAAGGGGAAGGGGTAGGAGAAAGGGTAGGGACAGGACCATTTGTCTGGCTTCTGGTGTTGTGGGGGTGTGGGTGGGCCTGCACTGGTGTCAGAAAGGCAGCTATATCTGATGTGTGTGGGGTGTGTGTCACGGGGTATACACTGTCCTGACTGCAGGTTCCCCGACTCAGAGCTTGGTTTCTGTATCTGACTCTGTCCTGCCGTGTGCTAACAAGGCAGCTGCTAGACTCATTCTAAAGGAGGCGGTGGAGCGAATGCTGTCACGTTAGCTGTTCAACCAGTGTGGTTCCCGGGGGCTGGGAGATTTGCCTGGACCAGGTGCTAGGGCTGTTCTGTGCTGGCTAGTGGAGAGGCCAGGGAGAACAGGACAGCAGCAAAACCCAACCATGTAGCAGTGCAGGACTCTGCCCTCCTTCTGGGCAGAAATGGAGGTAAAGGAGTTGGGTTTGCCTGGTAAAACCTGTGAGCCCAGTTCTCAGACATGGCAGCTGTAACAGAATCAGCAGGATCTAGGGACGCTCTAACTGGCAGGTAGCCTTCTGGCATTTGGGTCCTAAAGTGCCCATCTGAGTGAGTGCCTAGAAACCTGCCCCACAGGGAGAGAGAGAGGAGAACAGAGCGATGTGTGTGTCTCTGGGTGGCCTCTGAAGAGCATCTATGTTCCCATAGAACCTAGGCCCGTGCACACTGTGGGGAGACTTCAGTGACTCAAGGGGCTTGGATCAGGCCCTTTGGGGCAGCCCCTTTCTCTCGGGCTAACTGTATGAGCCAAATTGGCAAGTGAGCTTGGAATGGCTCTGGGCTGAGGGGAAATGAAGGGTCCCTTTCCCTCAGACTGTACTTCCTCGCCCTCCCCCCAGTCCCATCCCTGTGAAGGGAGGAATGCAGGGCTAAGAAACAGAGACTGGCGCTGATATGGGAGAGTCTCCAAACAGGTATTGGGAGTCTGTCTCTTGGGCCCCTTCGGAACTGGGCAACCCAGTGAGAAATGTCCCCTGAAGCACAGCTCTACATGGGGCTTTGCAAGGCAGATTCAGTGGCCAATGGAACTGGGCAACCCAGTGAGAAATATCCCCTGAAGCACAGCTCTCCGTGGGGCTTTGCAAGGCAGATTCAGTGGCCAACCAGGTCTTTTCCTTCTGGCTCCTGTGATTTCCTCCCCCCATGTTTATCTGAAGCCGTTTAGACATTCAGTTGAGCACGGAGCTAGGTCTGCTAACTCCTATAGTGAGTGGGGAGTGCGGCGTGACATGCTGCTGTGAAACACCTCCCTCCATGGCTATGGAACTGGACAATCTGAAAAGAGCCTGGGTCTGGAGCTTGGGCCCTGAGGGCTTTTCACAGTGACAGCTACTAGGAACCATGTGGAATTGCCCCGTGCTCCTTGGGATTTCAGTACTTGGTTTAATTTACAAGAAAAATAAAACTGCTGAGAGGGAAGTTGCCAGAGTGTTCCTGGCAAAGCTTCTGCCTCTGTTATGTCCACCACAAATGCAAAACCATCTTACATGTTGCAGCACAACTTGCATCGGCAATGAATTGATATGAGAGGGCTGGTACCAGTTAAATCACTGGCTAGCAGATCCTGGCATTTAGATATCAGGGTGGCCAGCGGTTTAGTGTGTGATGGATGTTTATTCGCATGCCCTCGCCAAGAACTGGCAATGGAGGTGAAGATCCATATGGCCTGGAGAAAGGACTGTTCATGTCTACAGCTCTCCCCATCTCAGTAGATATCCTAAGCATGTATTGTACCAGCGAAGGCTCCTGACATGGAAGTAAAAGGCAAGCAGGAGAAGTACTCAAGTCCCATTTGCTTTCTCTCCGGTTCACCAGGATTGATTTGTCATTGTGTCAGTCAGTATGATGATCACATGGCAGAGACAACAAGACCTACTAGATCATAGGTTCCCAAACTGGTGCATGAAAAAATTCCGGGGGTGGGGGCGGGAGGGAGCATGAGGCAACCTAGCCCCCCCTCCGTCAATTCCCTCCTCCCTCCCTCCCAAGAAAGAGCCTGGTCCATCTGGTAAAAAAATTCAGAAAATAGCATGTGAAATGTCCGGTGTTTTCTGTTTTTCCTGGCTTGTGCATCCACTGGAACATGCACAGCTCAGGCTGGCTGGGGCCGGGGGAGGATGGAGCATTCCGGGGCAGACTTCAAAATGGCCACCTTAAAAAGGCAATGCCTGCTCTGCTCTTGAAAGGGCAACTTTTTTTTTTTTTTTTGGTCAACAACTAAAGGGGCCGTGGGTTTGTTTGTTTTTGTTTTTTGTTTGTTTTTTTTCACAACAAGTTTTGCTGCTATTTTTGTTTTTCGGCCCCGGTCAGTTCCTTTTTTTTCCTCAACAAGTTTTGCTGCTATTTGGGGGTGGGTGAGGGTTTCTCAAAAATCAAAAAGGGGGTATGATGCCGAAAAGTTTGGGAACCACTGTACTAGATTATCCTGTCCATATACAAAACACTGAGCCTTCTACCCTGTTAGGGTATGTCTACACTACCCTCCTAATTTGAACTAGGAGGGTAATGTAGGCATACCGCACTTGCAAATGAAGCCCGGGATTTGAATTTCCCCGGCTTCATTTGCATAAGCCGGGCGCCGCCATTTTAAAATCCCGGCTAGTTCGAACGTTTGGATTAGGAAGCCTTATCCGAACTAGCTGTACTCCTCGTGGAATGAGGATTAGGCTTCTAATCCGAACTAGCTGTACTCCTTGTGGAATGAGGAGTACAGCTGGTTTGGATTAGGAAGCCTTATCCGAACTAGCTACTCCATGCCGCGTGTCTACACGCGGCACGGGGTTCGAACTAGCCGGGATTTAAAAATGGCGGCGCCCGGCTTATGCAAATGAAGCCCGGGAAATTCAAATCCCGGGCTTCATTTGCAAGTGCGGTATGCCTACATTACCCCGCTAGTTCGAACTAGTGGGGTAGTGTAGACATACCCTACTTGAGTCTGTTGCATACCTAGTGTGTCTTGGCATTGTGAGTTCTGCTGGCTGTTATATGCTCTATCATTCGTCATGTGAAATACATTGCAGCTAAACTTGTATTTAAAGTTCTTCCCCTGTTGGAAACTTTTTTTAATGTAAAAAACATATTTTAAATGGAATGGGGTGCATATCGTATGCAGGGGCTAGAGTGTGAAGTGGCTATGACCCAAAAGGCAAACATCCAACACAGACAAGGCCTACATGCCCTTTAAAATGAAGTTGATTATCCCATGTAGACATTGCACAAAACTGGTGTCAGGACTGGATCTGAGACTCTTCTCTGCTTTCTCCATTAGCTGCCCCTGCGTTTTCAGAACGCCCGCAGGATGTGTCTGTTGCGGTGGGGAAGCCTCCTCCGCTGGTTTCGTGGTCCAGACGAGACGGCCAACCAGTCACTGTCCAGTCTGGTCTGTTGAGGAGTTCCAGTCATATGGCATCTGATGAACTCTTCATGGAAAGTAAGAGAACTGGGACTACTGGAGACCATTTGTGCATAGATGTATTAGTGTGTGCCTAGGTATGAGAGCTTAGTGCACATCTGGGTGTGTGCACATGTATTGCGTGGATATCTGGATGTGTGTACACATTGGCTGCATGTCTGGGTGCATGCAGTATTTTTGTGTATCACCTGCCAAAAGATGTAAAAATTGTTCTCTTGTGTAGTGTTGCATGTATGTTGTCACTTTGTGTACACACATAAGCATTTTTGTGGGGAATTGGACTAGGTCTTATGCCCTTGCTTTGTTGTATGATTTCTGTGTGTTTGCATCCTTTAGTAACTGCACTCTGAGGTGCCCTGTGCGTGTGCGCGCTTTCATAAGTAACTTTGCACAGGCTCATTGTCTCTTATGTTTGTTAGCCAGTGGCCCTATTTCTCCACTGCCCTGAACATGGTCTTAAAAGTGAGTGTGAGATAATAGAATCATAGAATACTAGAACTGGAAGGGACCTCAAGAGGTCATCAAGTCCAGTCCCCTGCATTACAGAAAGACCAAGCACCATCTGATCAGCCCTGACAGATGTCTATCTAACTTGCTCTTAAATATCTACAATGATGGAGGTTTCATAACCTCTCTAGGCAATTTTCTCCAGTGCTTAAACACCCTAACAGGAAGTTTTTCATAATGTCCTACCTAAACCTCCTTTGCTGCAATTTAAGCCCATTGCTTCTTGTCCTATCACCAGACATTAAAGAGAATAATTTTTCTCCCTTCCCCTTGTGACATCCTTTTAGGTACCTGAAAGTTCTTAATACATCCCCTTCTCAGTCTTGTCTTTTCCAAAATAAAAAAACAGCAATTCTTTCAGTCTTCCCTCATAGGTCATGTTTTCTAGACCTTTAATCATTCTTGTTGCACTTTTCTAGACCTTCTCCAATTTCTCCACATCTTTCCTGAAATGTGAGGCCCAGAACTGGACACAATACTCCAGCTGAGGCCTAATCAGCACAGAGTAGAGTGGAAAATGACTTGTCATGTCTTGCTCACAACATTCCTATTAATGCAACCCAGACTGATATTTGTATTTTTGAAACAGTGTCACACTGTTGACTCTCATTTAGCTTGTGGTCCACTATGACCCCTAGATTCCTTCTGCAGTACTTCTTAGACAGTCACTTCCCATTTCGTATGTCTGAAATGGATTGTTGCTCCCTAAGTGGAATACTTTGCATTTGTCCTTACTCTGACTTTCACACTATTTACCTCAGACCGTTTCTCCAGTTTGTCCAAATCATTGTGCATTATAACTCTACCCTCCAAAGCACTTGCAACTCCTCCCAGCTTGGTCTCATCTGCAAGCTTTATAAGCGTGCTGTCAATGCCATTATTTAAATAGTTGATTAAGATGTTGAAAAGAACTGATCCCAAAACTGATCCCTGCAAAACTCCACTTATTATACCCTTCCAGCATGGCTGTGAACTGTTGATAACTACACTCAATGGTTATCCAACCAGTTATGCCCCATCTACATTGTATTGTTATTGATAATAAGGTCATGAGAGACTGTTATCAAATGCTTTACTAAAGTCTAGTTATACCACATCTACCACTTCCCCGTTATCCATAAGGCTTGAGATGCTGCTGTTCTGACTTGGTAGCATGGTACACCCTGTACCAGGGCTATCTCCTCTGCCTTTTGGATTTTCACAAGCTGGCTGGATGCTTTCCAGGTGTATAAGCATGAGTCTGTTGTTTATTAGGTCCCTTGCACCAATTCATCAGTACAGCCTTAGGCAGCAACATTCGAGTGGACATAAACTTGATTGTTCTTATTTGCTCATCAGCCTCCAGCCTCAGTGAAGCCACTGAGCACTGATCTCCCACAGAAGTCCACTTGGGGGAAGAAGCTGGTGCTTTGTAACAAGAGTGCTGAGTCACACCCCTAGCATAGTGACATGCCCCTGTCCCACCCTGTCATGGCTCCTTCCCCACTCTGGCATGATAAATGCAGAAGTGGGGGCCAGCAAGTGTACTCCAAAGCCTTATCTACCAGGATTTGGTATAAAACTTCCCCCAAAATCTTAAAAACCTAGATCTTGGGAATAAAACTTCCGCTGCCACCACCCAAATATTGATAAAGAAATCAGGGGAAAGATCATTTGGGAAATCTCACCCCTAAAATAAAAATCAGGACACACAAGTAACCAATGTCAGATTAATAAAAAGAAAAGAAAGAACTTTTATTATTACAACAATATTCCTGTTGCAAGCATAATGACTCGATGGAAAGGTAACAAAATATACTCACGGAGAAACTCCATGGGCCTAGAACTTAGTTACAAAGAAAAAACCAAAACATCTTTTAAACAGTGACAGATCTCAGATCCCATACCCAACCCTTAAAACAATAAAGCCTAACGAAACTACCTAAACTTTACCCTACTTACAGGAAATGGAGAATGGTGTCTTGGAGAGAGAGAGACATGCTTGTCCCTCTCTGTAGCTGCAGAGAACTCACCCAGAGAGACAAAAGGGAGAAAGGAAAAAACCCAAATTCCTTTGTCCCAGTTTGAAAGTCCTACCTACATTCCTACTGGTCACTCCACCTGGCTAGGTGTAGTTAACCCCTTAATCCCCAGGCTGCTGTCTAACCCTCATAATCATGACACACCCACCTTGCACAGGTGTAAGGGATGATGCCAGACAGTGCAGGATTGCTTTTAAGGCAGCCCATTGGTTTGGTGAGGTGAGCTCTCTGGCAGAGCTCAGAGATAAAGCTGAACCTCTCTGCATTGCCTTGCTCAGACTGTCATTCTTCATCTACCCCAGGTGTGTCACTGGATGACCAGGCCGTCTATGTCTGCGAAGCACAGAATGTATTTGGGAAGATCCAGGCTGAGGTCAAGCTCATGGTCACCGGACATGGTCAGCAGTCTTCACTTTTGGGGTCTTCGTTATTAGCCTTGTCGCATTGCTGAAGCAAGTGAAAGCATTGAGCCGGGAGGCTGACTGTCTGCACGTCACTCCCTGCAATGATGGGAATGGCTGCAGCGTGGTTTCTCTTGTTCCACCCCAGGGCTCCTTTGGAATATGCAGCTCGGGAATTCCAATGGTTGTTGGCTCAGAATGTCCTTTGACATTTAGGTCCATGCTTTCCTGCCTCGAGATGAAAATTTACCCAGCTCTCTACCCCCACACGCTTGGGAAGACAGATAGGCTTTACGCCGAACCAAATTCCCAGACCTGAACTTGGGGGGAAATGAGATCCAGATAGAGATGTGGCTCTGGCCCATTTCTAGCAGCACTGTATAGTAGGGAAATTCCTCCGCATACAGGGATGTCATCAGTAGGGATCGAACTGGGACCTTCACTGCGCCAAGAATACAGGGTTCTGGCACGTCTGCCAAAAGATCAATTCCTTGTGCTGTAAATAACTGGGCTGTTAGTCACTGGGGCCAACCACTAGTGGGGGAACATGATCCCACATGAAGCCAGTGTATTTGTAAGTGTTCAGTAGTTACGTGCTCTGATGGGCTGCTAGTGGGTGCAACCATTCACAATAGAAATGTCCATAGGGCAGAGGTGGGCAGTAATTTTTGAAAGGGACGGGGGCCTTGGTTAGAAGGGGTGGGGCCAGGAGACTTTGCATGCTCCCCTGTCCACAGACCCTGATTGGCCTGGGGGCGGGGAAGCGCATGAAGTCTTTGCCCCCGGCCCTGCCCTGCAGGAGCGTGTGGCACCTAGAGAGAACCGCCAGCTGTTTTGAACAGTTGGTGGTTTCCTCTGGTGCTGCGCGCCCCTGGTGGGAGGGAGGAGACTTTGCGTGCTCCCGCGTCCCCGGGCTTCAATTGGCCTGGGGGCGGAGGAGCAGCAGAGCAGCTGTGGGCTGGATCAAAGGGCTTGGTGGGCCAAATCTGGCCCACGGAAGCTGTCTTGCCCACCCCTGCCATAGGGAATGACCCAACTATTCATACGCATGCAGATCCAAAGTTCCTCCCAGCAGAGGGCAGTGAGGAACTTGCATGAGAACAGAGTAGATGCTCTAACCTATGGCCAAATCCATAGGTATGAGGGTCGGCCCCTGTGGCTGTTCTGGCACGTACATCAAGAATTGTTTGTTTTCAGAGGCTGGATAAATAGAACCCTGCACTGATACAAAATTTGTGTCCATATCTGAATTTGTATCCACAACAATGAGCCATGGTCAGCCACATCCATGGATATCCGCTGATTTGCAGGGCTCTATGGATAAGACTCGTATTAATGATTTTTCATCTAGGGGGCTAATTTGTAAAACACTAAGAAGCAGAACGGTTGTCCTGGCTTCTTAAAACCAGCTTGTCCCCATTTAATGTAGCCTTTTCCTTCTCCAGTTGCCCCAGAGATAGCTATCGGGGCCCCCGTGATCCATGCCCGGGAGGGTCAGCTCGTCTCACTGCCATGTGTAATCCTGGCTGGGAAACCTCTTCCAGACCGACACTGGCTGAAGGATGGGCAGCCGGTGAGTGCTGAATCCCTTGTCTCAGTTGCTGAGTGGGGGGTGAGAATGGTGAGTCGAGCACTGTGGAGAAATCGGAGGGACGTTGTCTGCATAGCACTGGTTGAATTGTGCCACAACACTGTCATTGTGTTATTCAATGGGATGGTTCAAAGTGAGAGGTAGAAAAGACTTAGGAGAATATCCAGGCGATCCCCAGATGTTACCCCTCAGCCAGAGTTACCACTCCACGAGGAGTAATGGTAGTTCGGATTAGAGAGCCTAATTCGAACTACCTACTCCGTGCCGCGTGTAGCCGCGGGCACGGAGTCCGCACTAAGGGGGATTTAAAAATGGCGGCGCCCGGCAAGATGCAAATGAAGCCCGGGATATTTCAATCCCGGGCTTCATTTGCAACTTCGAATGTCTACATTAGCCACCCTAGTTCGAATTAGGGTGGCAGTGTAGACATACCCTCAGAGACTGGGGGCAGATGTACTGTCTCTCCTTTGTCATTGTGGGGTCCGTCCACACCTCGGTTGTGTCTACACTACATGCCTCTTTCGGCAGAGGCATGTAGATTAGGGTTGTAGACAAAGTTAAACGAAGCTGCGATTTAAATGATCGCGGCTTCATTTACATTTACATGGCTGATCAGCTGTTTGTCGGCTCACTGCTAGTCTGGACGTTCCCCCTGTCGACATCAAAGCCCTTTGTCGGCAGCCCCGTTATTCCTCGTGGAATGAGGTTTACC